GTTGAGCCCAACATTTCTGTAGCTAAGCAGGACAGAGGCTAAGCAAGCTTTGTCCCATTTTACGACCTCTCCTGCTACCGTCGTTAAGTGAATAGCTGCAGTGGTTCAGTTAGTTAACACATTTGTTAAATAAATCTGGCTTCCCCATTGACTTTGCTTGTCAGAAAGTCACAAAAGATGATCCCATGTCTCTGGAACACCACCACTGTCATAAAAACATGCCAGTTGTCAAGTGTCCAAATTCTGATGAAGCATGACTAAACAAATGGTCATAAGTTGAGGACTTCCCATGCGCTCATGACATATAACAGTTCTTGTGTTGACTACTCTGGCTGTTTTGACAAGACGCTGCTTTTAGATCCTTTCAACAATCATTTTGAACAGTTGCTTCCGTGAAATACACCTCGAAATGATTTCCACAGCCTCAATAATAAACCCACACTGGATACGGGTAACCCTTGTTGAACAATATTCAACGACTGTTCAAAGTTATGACAGTGCTGAATGGGGAGAGGACGTATGACAGGTCCTCATTCTCACAGCCATTACAGCATACCCACGATCACATGACCATGATGAGCCATGGTGGCGTAATGCAGTACTACAAGCTACTTCTGCTGACTGCCTGCAATTTGGCAGTTCAAATCTCACCAGGCTCAAGGTTGACTCAGCCTTCCATCATTCTCAGATGGGTAAAAGGAGGACCCAGATTGTTGGGGGCAATAGACTGACTCTGTCAACCGCTTAGAGAAGGCTGGAAAGCACTGTGAAGCGGTATATAACTGCTGTTGCTATAATCTGGGTGTTCCTCGCCCGAGTGACAGTTATGACACTGCAGCATCCTGCAGTCGTGATTCCCCCATTTGAGACCTCCACTGCTGACTTCCAACAAGCAAAGTCAATGGGGAAGCCTGCAGGAGATCACAAACGACAGATCACGTGACCGCAGCACACTGCAACCGCACAGGATTTGCCAAATGAAGGCAAATGGAACTGCCGCAACGACGTAAGTTGGTGTAGTCATGTTAACATCAAGCTTCACAACCAGGCTGCTTAGCAACAAAGTTGCCACTCTCAATTACCCTCTTGAAATGATGGCTACCTGTACTCTGGTAGAAAGTCTAACAAAGAGATAAAACAGGACAGAACAGAATAACAGAGTTGGAAGGGACCCTTGAGGTCTTCTAGTCCAACCCCCCTCTGCCCAAGCAGGACCCTATACCAGGGGTAAGGAAACTTGGCTCTTTTATCACTTATGGACTTCAACTCCCAGAATTCCTGAGTGAGCCATAAAAGGTTCCCCATCCCTGGCCTACTGGTTTTTCACTTGTGGGGGAAATCAATTTTTGACTTGAATGGGACTGTTTCATATATTAAATGTAGGGCATGTTCTTTATATTCCTTATATGTCCTCCATTTGTATATTAAACAGTCCCATTCAAGTCAAAAATTGATTTCCCTCACAACTAAAAAAACCAGTAGGCCAGGGATTGGGAAACTTTTATGGCTCACTCAGGAATTCTGGGAGTTGAAGTCCATAAGTGATAAAAGAGCCAAGTTTCCCTACCTCTGCCCTATACCATTTCAGGCAGATGGCTGTTCAGTTTCTCCTTAAAAGCCTCCAGTGATGAAGCCCACACAACTTCTGAAGGCAAGCCCTTCCACTCCTCACTGTTAGGAAATTTGTCTTCAGTTCTAGGAGCCAGGAGCTAACAAATGAATAAAGAGGCTTTTACTACAAAAATCCACATTTCTGGAGTAAATTGCTTAAACATTTATTCCTAGTTTTTCTTTGGGAAAAAAAAATAAGATTCGGTAGCTCTTTTAAAAGAAAAGGGTAAACTGTTCTGACACTGATTTGTCTGAAAAGGTATAGGGTTTCCTGCCTAAGCAAGGGGTTGGACTATAAGACCTCCCAGGTCCCTTCCAACTCTGTTATTCTATATTCTGATAATATCTATACTAGTTAAAACATAGTTGTGTAAATACATTAAGACCCATTATTTCTTCCAGCACCTAATGGTACCATCAACATCAAGACACCAGAGAAAAAAATAAAGACTTATCCATAAAGTCAATGCAGAAGTTGTTAGGCAGCATGTGTTAACTCCAGTAAAAAGAATGTCTGGTAGCCAGGAGGGGTATTTTTTATTTACAACACATTTCACTTTTATAGGATTTGGGCAGGTAAATAAATCAAATTGGGATTCCAGTTCCAGATAACTGAGCTGGTAGCATCTCAATTCATAAAACATAATAACCTAATAATTTATTCAGACTATAAATTCTTATCTCCTCCCCATAAACTTTTAAAAGATTTCCTTCATCTCATGTTTTGGATTATGTTTATTTAATAAGCCCATAGATAATAAAAAGCTACATGACAAAACCAAAAAGAAAAAGTAGCAAAAATTAAGCCAAGAGAGTGTGAAAATCTGGCCTTACGCCAAGAAGTGCAAATTGCACGTCAGCCGCTTTCTGGTTTTAATAGAGATAAGGGGGGTCTGAAAATGTATAGGCTGAAAAAAATAAAAAATAAAATTGAGGAACGAAGGATACAATTGACCTCAAAAACCACTAGAGGGCACCAAAGGAACACTAACGCTAAAGCAACATTTCCTTTTGGTATCAGATTGACCTGTGCTATGTTTAAAAAAAAAACATCTTAATTACCTAAAAGAAAAATAATACCCAATACTCAGATTATCCTCTTCTCGGAAAATTTAGAGGACTTTCCACACAAGGTTGGGCAACAACTATTTCAACTGGCTAGGATTTGTTATTTAACGCCTAATCTTTTCCCCTCTTGACCAAAACAACCCACAAGCCATTTAATTTCATCTCCTTTGTAATTCCAGACTTTAAAGGTTTTTCTAATTCAACATTAGCATAATAAAAAAGGGTTTTTTTATTAAATTGTTGTGCTCTTTTTTTAAACTATGCCTGAACTGGGTAGATCCATAGGCCTGTGATGATGAACCTATGGCACCTGTGCCGGAAGTATCGAGTATCTGCTAGCGTATGAGCGGCGGGAGACGCTCACGTGGGAGATGTTCGTGCACGTGCAGAGGTACGTGGCGTGCGGGGGATCGCATGCGCTGGGGGAGTCGCACGCGCATTGCCTCATGGTTGCAGGCACGCAACATGGAAAAGGTTAGCCATCACTGCCATAGGCCATAGCAAACTAGTTGCTCACTAAAAAAAAAAAGCTGGCCACGGACTCTGCAAATTGTTTCCAAACAAACTTGTGGGCAGCCTCTTTTTCTTTTGTGTTCTATGAAATAAAAAGATTTTGTGATAGCACACTGATTTGGGGTGGATCTTTATATCTACCCTATTTTATTCCTGGCATTCTTACCCAACCTGATACACTCCGGATGTACAGGTAGACCTCGACTTACAACAGTTCGTTTAGCAACCGTGACAATGGCGCTGAAAAAAAAATGACCTCACACTTATGACCGTTGCACCATTCTCATGGTCGTGAGATTTTACATTCAGATACTTGACAACTCACTCGCATTTACGGTGGCTGTGGTATCCCAGGGGTCACAACATTCCTCCCCTTTGAGAACTTCTGACAAGGCAAGTCCATGGGGAAGCCAGATTCACTTAACAACCGGGTTACTCACTTATCAAACCGCAGGGACTGTGTGGCAAGAAAGGTTGTCAAATGGGACAAAACCCACTGTGAGGATTCCGGCAGTTACCCCAATTAAATCGTGAGTCTCGAGCCGCACTCCCAAAAGTTCAAAGGATTTACTGGAAGTCAACATGTTGGCATGACCTGGGTGTAGCCGACTCTGAGACACGTAATTCACTGTCACCCTTGACCCTGATTTTCCCCCAACCCCTCTGAGTGTATCATAATTCATATTCTCCAACGAAACCCGTCCATAGCCAAGAGCCATCAATCATGTTCTCCAATTAGATTTTTGCCTGGCAGAAGCTTCAGTCATCTAATCAGTCTCTGAAGAAAATATGAATGGAATGTACTTTCAATTCCACACTGCTGCCTCCTCTTTGAAACTCCCCCCACCCTTCTTTCTGTTGACAACTATAAAACGTGTATATAGAAATTGTTTTAAGAGTTGACACCCACTTAGCAAATGTCTTGCTTAACAACAGAAATTCTGGGCGCAGTTGTGGTCGTAAGTTGAGGACTACCTGTACAACACAATGCAAAACAGAATTGAAGCGGATAAAAATCCACTCTCATGGGACTGGAAATTTCTGGCCAAAGCCCAAGGCCTCTTACCGGGATTTAGAAACTCATTATGCCAAAGCTGTGCATAGAAGAGAAAAGCCTCCTTTATCTGACTTAAATTACGGAAGAAACTGCTTTTGAAAGTATTTTCCTTTCTTTTAGGCCTTTCACTGGTGTTTCCTTATCCTCTTTTATTCCAAAGGGCCTGGACAAGGTCTCCTCGCTATCAACAGCTCCTTTTGCAAGGGAACAAAGCCCAGGAACAAAACAGAAGGTTGCCATCGGATACCCGCCTTATTATTTGGTGACGTTCTTACCTCAAGTTCTTTTCTAAGCCGAGTCTCTCGCTCAGCACCGAACTGAAGTTCGCTGGCCTGTCTCCTCAAGGCTTCTGAGCAGCCACTATGTTCTCTTTCTAGCTCTTGTACTTTTTTGCGGACGTTTTGCAACGTGCTGGTGCTTTCCTGGTGGGAGAATAAGAATTAGTTCCAACTTCAGCATTTTCCTTGAAGAGAAAGTTACAATGTACACTTGGTCTTTAAATCCAAGAGTAGGATCAAGAGTCCTCAAACAACTCAGAACCACAGATAAATTGGAAGTTGTCCCACTGAAAGGCCTCCGTGATTGTTGTCTACCAGTAGCCCCAAACACCATTACTTAGAAGCAGGATCTGCGCCGTCGATAAGTTTCTAAGTAAAAATATTTTAGGCTTGTTTGTTTTTTTCTATACTGCATAAAGAATTTCCATTTACTTAGGACGTTTAGAAGTTCACATTGCCATTTTAACGGTTTCAACTTTAGACTTGTCACAGGCTTACATAACACGGTACTTCTAGGTAAAAATAACAAGGCTAAAATTATTCAGTCGACATTATGGTTGATTCTTTAAAAAATTTATTCCTTTCCTTTACATTCCGCCTTTTGGGCACAGATTTCAAGCCAGCGCTTCTACTTCGTTTCCCACTCACCCAATGTCTGCCACTCAACATCAGTGCCAGTTCGTGTGGAGTTCATGACTAGCCCACAGAAAATTACCCAGAGAAATTCCAATTTCAATGTATATTTGTATCCAGATCCCTCCACAACAAATCCTGCATGATAACCATGACTCCTTGCTGGTTCCCTTTATTTCCTAACAACAGACACCCACACTCAATCAATCCTCTAGGCTGTACAGTATGATCAAATATGAGGAACAGAAGAGTCCTTCATAAAGGGTCCTTCAAAACTATCATCACAGAGTTTTTTTTTATTATTATTGCAGCAGATAAAAGCAAGACCAATTAGTATAGCGGTATTTAGTTAAAATAGAACATATTTGCTTTTGTCTTTGTCTCACTTTGCTTGTTGGCTGAGTCAGTAACATTTTAGAGCAGGGGTCACCAACCTTTTGGACCTCAGGGATCACCAAACTCATAATTTTAAATCCCGCTGACCACTAATATGAATTTTGGCTGACGGTGGCTTGCTGGTGGGAGAGAGATCTGATCTAACCTCGGAGGGCTGGCAGTGATGTTCTCCCCCCCACTCCCTCTCACACACACAGAGGTCACACACACACACACCCTTCAAGGCAGCCACATTCCTTCACTAACCTGCTTTTCAGCTCCGTTCTCAGGGGAAGAGAGAGAGAGAGAGAGAGACAGACGGACAGACTGGATTAATTGCTTTGGGGGTGACATTTCTCTGCGGACCACCAAAATTTTCTCGTGGCTCACCAGTGGTCTGCGGCCCACCAGTTGGCAACCACTGTTTTAGAGAACTGTCCTAGCACCAAGCCTAGTCAAATATATTGCTTAGCTTGAAAGTGGCTATATAACTCCTACATCACACAGAGTGTTGTACCCTGTTTCTCAACACAGATAGTCCTCGACTTACAACCACAACTGAGCCCAAAGTTTCTGTTGCTAAGTGAGAAAGTTGTCAAGTGAATTTTGCCCTGTTTTACGAGCTTTCTTGCTACTGTGGTTACGTGAATCACTGCAGTTAAGTTAATAACATTCTTGTTGAGTGAATCTGGCTTCTCCACTGACTTTGCTTGTCAGAAGGTCACAAAAAGTTGGTCACAGGATCCAGGGACATTGCAACTGCCATAAATATTAGTCAATTGTCGAGTGTCTGAATTTTGAACATGTCACTATGATGTGTATGCTGCAACCATCACAGGTGTGCAAAATGGTCATGGGTCACTTTTTTATGGGCTGTTGTTAACTTCAGATTGTCACTAAAGGAACTGCTGTAAATCAAGGACTACCTGTACAGAGGAAAACTTAATAAAGTCAGCTGAAAAACCTGAGATGTTTTGTCTTAGCTCATTATTTTATTAACTGATAATGCAGCGTGTTTCTCTGCCTCAATTCTGGTATGCAAGAGCATTTGTGACAAGGAGGAAAATGTGTTATGATATGTACAGAATAACCCTTGAGTAACAAGGATATGAACATGGAAACATTTATGAGAGTAGTTATGAATGATTATTCAGCCACACACAGATACACTAAATTGAGTTAAAGTGCTCATCTCTGTTTCAAAGCCGAAGAGCCAGGGCTGTCTGAAGATGTCTCTGTGGTCATGTGGCTGGCATAACTAAACGCCGAAGGCGCACAGAACGCTTTTACCTTCCCACCAAAGTGTTCCCTATTTTTCATTTTACATGCTTTTGAATTGCTAGGTTGGCAGAAGCTGGGACAAGTAACGAGAGCTCACTCCGTTACACGGCGCTAGGGATTTGAACTGCTGAACTGCTGACTTTTCTGATAGACAAGCTCAGCGTCTTAGTCACAGAGCCACTGGGTCCCTGTGTGGTCACTGAGTGGCCATAGGGATGACAATTCCTATACTGCCATCCCATGGAAATGTCTGCTAACGGAAGACTGGAACGGCTGAAGAACATTGTAGCTCATAACAGGTTTTGTTGCACGTGAGGTAGCAGAGAGTAAATAGGCTCTCTCCTTTCTTTCCCTATGCAGCCCCTATCTCCACAAATAAACTACTGACCAGATTGGTCAGTATCTCTGGGCTGAGAAGAAGCTGTTTGGAAAGAACCAGATGCTTGTGCCGTCAAAGGAGAATGGCCCTGAAAGGCAGGAGACTAAAGGGGAAGAGTTGGATCTACACTAGGAGAGTCCAACCATGGTGACTTTAAGACGGAGGTCTCCAAACTTGGCAACTTTAAGACTTGTGGACTTCAACTCCCAGAATTCTCCAGCCAGCTATGGGAGTTGAAGTCTACAAGTCTTAAAGTTGCCAAGTTTGGGGACCCCTGCTTTAAGACCTTTGGACTTCAACGTATCTCTGGGCTGGGGAATTCTGGAAATCGAAGTTACCAAAGTTGGACATCCCTGGTCTACTTTCTGAAGGTGCTTAACCGATTTCACCAACCAAATGGCAGGGCAGAGAAGGAGGAAACAATTGCCACAGGAAATTCATCCGGGGTTAGATGAAAGTAGGGAAAGGGCTAACTGTGCCCATTAAGCTAAGTTATTGCTATGGTTGGTTCGGTTTTTTGTTATGTGGGAATCCAACCACATATTATGATTAGTATTAAAGCATGGACCGGAAACGACTAGCACATATGTGCAACGGGAACCTTTACCTTTTACCTTTTGATTGCATGTCAAAGGCAAGCATGCCCCCAAAATAGATGGCATCAGAGCCTGTTCTGGGAGGTGGATTGAGAATTTTACACAATAGCAATAGCACTTAGTGCTTTACAACCTTCTCTAAGCAGTTTACAGAGTCAGCCTATTGCCCCCAACAATCTGGGTCCGTATTTTACCCACCTCGGAAGGATGGAAGGCTGAATCAACCTTGAGCCTGGTGGGATTTGAACTGCCAAATTACAGGCAGCTGGCAGGCAGCAGAAGTATTGCACTCTAACCACTGCGTCACCGATTTTGCCATTTAAAATGTCCAGTCATCAAAATTGTAAATGAGAGGGCCAAATATTAAAGCCCATCTAAATGGGAGTGACAAAAAGTTGCTGTAAAGCAAAGTACACTGACACCAGTCATAGAGGTAACAAAAAAAAAATTTTTTTTAATTTCTGAAATGGCGATTAAGAATGGAAATTTAAGTTGAACTAATCACTGCCAAATTAAATTTACAGATATATTAAGAAGTGGAAGAGAGGAATCAATCACAGTATGACTCCATAGCGCAGGTCGAGTTGACCACATATCTGCTTCATAAGCCAAAGCATCAATGATACTTTGCTATCGACTTTATGCAAGAGCAAGCCAATTTCATCCAAATCAGAAAACTATGATTTACAGCTTTAACAAACCAATGTATTAATGCAAACAATAGGTTCATTGCATTCCAAAGCCATTAAATCATGGCTTTCCAGTTCAGATGAAAGAAGCTGTGTTTTACTTATGCAAGGAAAAAAAAAGGCGGGGGAGAGGAAGGGATTACATTCACTCAAAAGAAAAGATTTATTGATATTTCAGCTTATTAAAGCAATCCCTGAAATATAACGCCGCTATATTAGAGTGGCTTTTGAAAGCAGAGCAAGTATAAAATGTAGTCATTTCTTACAATCCAATATCACTATGTGAAAGAAGATTGATTTCAATAGTTTATCCTCACAACTCCAGTGGAATTAAAATAGGTCTATGCTACGGCATAATCTAACTAAAATAAAGATCACTCGGTTATAAGTAAGTTCAGAAGTTTCTCATGCAATGTTGGGCTGTTAGCCACAAGATGATGCTGTTGTATTTCTTATAGAAAATCCAACCTTCTTTTAGAAAGTAGGCAAAATATTCAATATAAATCTTCCAAAAGCCCATCTTCCTCTGCTAAAACATTTCCCCCTGCTAAAAATTCTTCAAAGGGCTTATGATTCCATTTCTCTTTGCTACAGACAATCATTTTAATTTAGTTTTCATAGATACTGCTAAAATAATGTTTACGTGCCATAGCGTACATCTGGTTCAACTGACTTATTTAAGGGACCAGATCTTCCATTTCAATATAATTGCTCACACACAAGTAACAGAAGGGAAGAAAGATTAAAAATTAAATCGTGAAAATAGCAATGAGCACACACCAGATTTACCTAAAGATATAAATAATGTTATAAGATAGAAAGAAAGAGGAGAGGATGCCCAGAAGCAACGTGGCTAGTTTTAATCACAGTGGATGCAATGTTAGTAGACCTGAATGACCAGGCTTAGGACAGATTGTCATAGAAGAGTCTATCTATGTGATTTCTAAGGATCGACACTCACCATAATCAGATCAAATCAATCCCCCACCAATTAGGTTTTATACGTATTTATCAACTCATATACACACAAATAGACACTTTATTATCCAAGAGTAAGAAATCTATGGCTGTTCAGAGATGAATTAAAACTCGTTGCATGCTTCATTTTGGCTACGCTACCACGGCTGAACTGTAATTCAACGTTTCAATAGCAACAGATAGACCTCTTCTGCAACTTGTTAGTAAAGACTT